CACACACACACTCTCGGTCTCTCTCTCTCGCTCTCTCTCTCTCTCACACACACACACATATGTGCAGAGCTGTACCTGTAGTAAGACATGGGTCGGGGGGGTGCGTCCGGTCTCTCCTGATCCAGCTCTCGAAACACCACCTCGGGCAGCTTGACCGGTGGGTTCATGTGATGGTGCGAGCTGCTGTCTTTCTTTTTGTCTTTGCTCTTGTGCTTTCCTGTTTTCTGCGGCCCCTTCTCCCCATTGGCTGCAGAACTGTCCAACCTGTCCTTACCGATTCCCCCGGCCTCACCGTTACACGCCGCCGAGCCCGTCCCTGTCGACGTGGGGTCCTCCGCGCCGCTGTCCTCCTCCGAAAGCACGTCCAGGTTCTCGAAGATGCTGATGCGGTGGACTCGGCCGCGGATCTCCAGCTCCACCATGCGCTGGGCTTCGGCGTAGGTCATGCTCTCTCTGACGGGCGAGTGTGAGCACTCGGAGCGTTCGGCGGGGCTGCCCGGTGTGGCCCCCGGCCCCGTGACCCCTGACCCCGTGCTGGAGTCGGGGCCCTCGCCGGACCCCGGCAGGGCGGCCCGCGGCGGTCGGCCCTTGCGCTTCTTCTGAGGGGTGCCCTGTGCCGGAGGCGGGTTGTCGTGGTCATAGTGGTAGAGGTGGTACTCGATGCCGCTGTAGCTCTTGTAGACCTTGCGGCAGCTGTCCACCGGACACTCGTAGGGCGGCTTCGTCGCCCGCAGGTTGTGGCAGAACGTCTTCACGTCAAAGTCCAGCCCCATCCCGAGAATGCTCACTGCAGCGTCACCAACAGACCCGGCTCACATCTATGAGGACAACACAAAGGCTTTTACTTGAGCACAGCAATCCACAGATTTCATTGGACAACGAGTGCCGATATTTCGTTTAACAGCAGCAGTATTACGGAGTACCAGTACAGCTGTCCATTTCGCTAACACTTTATTTTGATAGTCCACTTCAGACATACTATTAACAGTAAGTAACTTTAACTACATGTTAACTAGCAGTCATTAGAGTATTAGTAGACTGTCTGCTTGATATCTGCGAACACTTTACTTTGATGGGTCCACAACATACTGACTATGAGAAACTTTGCAAGTATATATCAACTTATTCTACTAACCCTAAACCTAACCTAACAGTCCACTCTGAGAGTTAGTAGACGTGTAGTTGTGAATTAATGAGCATTAGTTGACGTGTAGTTGCAAAGCTACTTGTAGTTAGTAGAATGTCTAAAGTGGACTATCGAAATAAAGTGTAACCTCTATTGCGTCTTTATTTGACCCTCTAACTCTAGCACTCTCTATTCTATTTTCTCTATTTGTTTTCTTTTTATTTATTATAGAATTAACAAACAAAAAACCCTGGTGTGCAGCGTTAAGCTAACTGAGGCGTGTTCTCGCGCCTGCAGACCGTTGCTCTTCTGTTGATTCTGATCGCTTGTATCGTCCTCTTCGGATAAAAGCCTCTGCTGAATGACTCGATGTAATGTAAAAGTACATGTCTGCGGCCCAATCACAGATGCTGCGATACTTCATGCGACTCCGCTGGAGCGAGAGCTGGCTGAACAAGAGAGACGGCACCTCTCAAACAAGCGCCGCTGGACATCGCTCTACACAGCCGCTGCTAGCCTCGAACCTCGAGCCTTTCGATTAGCAAACCAGGCTTTAACCAGGAAGTCTCAGCGTCAGTTCAGAAGAAGTGGTTTTAACCACAAGAAGGACAAACTAAAGCCTGAAGCGCCCGGCGTGAGAGTGAATCCCCTCCACTGTGTCCCGCTGTTTGTTCACTTCATCAGTTTAAAGCACAACTCTAGCATTAGCGTCCTGCAGCTCGAGCACATGAACCTGCTGTAGCACACCAGCGCTGAATCTAGCTCGAAGCGTTACCACGGCAAACCTCAACAACATGGCATCTCCATGCTGGCTTCGTTAGTGGCCGGTTGATGAACCCCGCTTTCCTTCACACATGTGTAAAGTATGAGTTTATATGTGCTGCTGTGTCAGTGCTCCACACAGACGGATCTCTGGCGGGTGAACGTGTTTTGTAGTAAACACTTACTACTCGGGAGTCCGCGGCGGGCTTCACGCTCACTCCGAGAGCAAGACTTCACACTGAGATGGGTTTAATTCAGACCAGAAGGGCTGGAGCTCAGTAACGGGGTCCTTTATAGATTCTGATCAGCACACCAGGAACTGAAGCGAGCGAACAAAGGGGCTAGCGCGCGATCCGCGTCTGCACATTCGCCGATCCGCCACACTGGAAAGCGCGTTTAAAATATACTTACGCAACAATATCTATCTTTCGTGACACGCGGTCTGTCAACGTACATACCTGAGCAAATCCAGTCGGAAGTCTCCATACGTCCTTGATGATTTATTCCTGCTGCGCTGACGAATCAGCCGTCGGTTGTCCCGCGGTTGCCCGCTGCGACTGTGTTTAGTGTGCACCATAGACTGTACAAAACGGTTTGCACACGAATACTGCTGAACTAGTGCTGTTTTAGCTGCAGTGTGTGTCATGTTTATACAGAATAAAGCCCCTCGGCCTCGGTGCATGGGCACCAGGGTGGTAAGAGCTTGAGTGGCTTGGGTGCGAGGGCTCTGCTGCAGTGATCGGCGGCGGCCTGTAGAGGGCCTACATTACTCGCTTCAACTGAACACAAACGCAATCTTTACATTTCTTTGAAAAACATCATTTGTCAATTGGGTAAAACCTTTAAACAAACCAATTATGCTCCCAACATCCCATAGCGTTTTAGCCATTTGTTTGCATTTATCCTAAACCTTTCACAATTATTTGAAAATATGTATCTAATTTAGCTAATGTATTTTTTCTTTTTAATTAAATATAATATTTTCTGTTAATAACAGGTGTGCATTACAAATTCACAAATGTAGCCTAATGTTTCTACACTTGTTCACTCCCCTACAGTCGGCTGCAAGTGGTAAAATAGCTAGGGAATATTATTTAACAGTGTAAACAGCTTTTTAAATTTGTTTTTATTTTTTACTATTGAACTTGGGGCATGCTTGCATATATAATATGTGACCCTGGACCCCAAAACCAGTCATAAGGCTCCTTTTTTTTTATTCGGTTTAATTGAATCACATGAAATTAATAAAATAACAATCTGAAAGCTGAATAAATAAGCTTTCCATTGATGTATGGTTTGTTATGATTGGACAATATCTGGCTGAGATACAACTATTAGAAAATCTGGAATCTGAGGGTGCAAAAAAATCTAAATATTGAGAAAATCATCTTTAAAGTTGTTCAAATGAAGTTCTTAGCAATGCATATTACTAATCAAAAATTAAGTTCTGATATATTTACAGTAGGAAATTTACTAAATATCTTCATGGAACATGATCTTTACTTAATATCCGAATGATTTTTGGCATAGAAGAAAATCTTTAATGTTGACCCACACAATGTATTGTTGGCTATTGCTACAAATATACCCCAGCGACTTAACACTGCTTTTGTGCTGCAGGGTCACATATGTCACCATAATCAAGTGTGATCTTGGCAAACCAAAATTATATTATCATTATGCTATTTTCCTACCAGCTGTAAAAGACATGTACCATTACATTTAGAGCCTTTAATTTTTGAATAAATATGTCATAAATTATGTCATTAGGTCTGCAGAATTTGAAATCTCATTGGATATTTGATTTTCTCCTCAGAAATAATTAGGGCTCTGCCCCCAGTATGTCTGTTTAACGCAACAGGTGAGGAGGGCAGCTCTGGAAATATTAACATGTAGTCAAAAATACTGACAAAATATTAAAGGACATCAAAACCAGTTTACGACTGTATGAGTCACTAGAAGTAAGTATACAGTACATTTACATTTAGTCATTCAGCAGACGCTTTTATCCAAAATGACTTACAAATGAGGACAATAGAAGCAATCAAAACTAACAAAAGAGCAGGCATAAAACGCCAAAAAGAAAAAGAAAAAACAATAACAAAATACCAATAATATGCAAGTGCTATAACCAGTCTCACTTAGCCTAAAGCAGTACATGTATAGAAAAAGAATAGAGCAAGCTAGTGTTAAGAGTCCTTTTTTGCTTTTGTTAATTGTATAATAAATAAAAAGAAACCAAATAGATAGAATACAAAAACATTAGAGAAGCAAGTGTTTTTTTTTAAGAAAACAAGCAGTTAGTAAATAGAGTGCAAGTCTAAAAGGGGCACGTTTTTAAAAAATAAAGAATAGAATTAGAAAAGAGTTTGCTAGAGCTAGAGGGTCAAATAAAGATGGAAGAGATGTGTTTTTAGCCGATTCTTGAAGATGGTTAAGGACTCAGCTGCTGGGATTGAGTTGGGCAGGTCACTCCACCAGGAGGGAACAGTTAATGTAAAAGTCTGTGAAAGTGATTTTGTGCCTCTTTGGGATGAACAATAAATCAACGTTCACTTGCAGAACGCAAGCTTCTAGAGGCACATAAGTCTGAAGTAATGAATTTAGGTAAAGTTGTGCAGAGCCAGTGGTTTTGTACGCAAACATTAATGCCTTGAATTTTATGCGCTAATAAGCATAAGCATTAAGCTATTGGTAGCCAGTGCAAACTGATAAACAGAGGTGTGACGTGCATTATTTTTTTGCTCATTAAAACTGTGACTTGGACACCTCACCTCTCCAAGATACCTTGAAGGACCTATCTGAGAGATAAGACTCAAACCACTGGAGTATGGTTCCTGAGATGCACTTTGCCAATAGGGTTGACTGGAGAATCTGGTGGTTAACCTTGTCAAAAGCAGTGGACAGATCCAGCAAAATAAGTACAGAAGATTTGGAATCCACTCTTGCCAGTCTTAGGGCTTCAACAACTGAGAGCAAGACAGTCTCGGTGTAATGTCCACTTCTGAAGCCAGATTGGTTGCTGTCCAGGAGGTTGTTCTGTGTGAGAAAGGCAGAGACTGGGTTGAACACCGCTTGTTCAAGTGTTTTTGCAATGAAAGGAAGAAGGGAAACCGGTCTGTAGTTCTTTAAAAGAGATGGGTTAAGGGTGGGTTTCTTAAGTAGTGGGGTTATACGAGCCTGTCTAAATGCTGAGGGAAAAACACCAGTGTGAAGGGATGTGTTAACGATGTGAGTGAGTGCAGGTACAACGGCAGGAGAAATGGCTTGAAGGAGATGAGCTGGAATAGGATCAAGCGGACAAGTAGTAGGATGATTAGAAAGGATGAGTTTGGAGACTTCTGCCTCAGAGAGTGAAGAGAAGGATGAAAACGAGTGTATGTTTGCTGGTAAGATGTGCTTGACAGATTGTGGCGTGGAAAATTGTGCACTGATGGTTTTCATTTTATTAATGAAGAAAGTGGCAAAGTCGTCAGCTGTTAGAGTTGATGAAGGAGGAAAGGAGGAGGAGGACAAAGGAGGGAGGAAAATGTTTTAAAGAGAATGCTAGAGTTAGACAAATTGTTAATTTTGTTATGATAGTATGTCCTTTTAGCAGTGGAGGCATTAGCAGAAAATGAAGAGAGGAGTGATCGATATACATTAAGGTCAGTAGGGTTTTTTTATTTGTGCCACACCCTTTCAGCAGCCCTGAGCTTACAACGATGTTCTCAGAGAACATCAGACAGCCAAGGGGCAGAAGAGGTGGTACGAGCTGGCCTGGAAGACAAGGGGCAGACAGTGTCTAAACAAAGACGTAAGAGTGGAGCTGAAAGAATAAGTAGCACTGTTAGCATCAACAGATGATAACTGTTTAGGGGGAGGAAGTGAAGAAGAAACCATAGCAGATAGCCGGAAGGGTGAGAGTGAGAGTAGGTTACGTCGAAAGATGACATGTGTAGGGGTGTGTGTTGTGTCAGGAACCATGTTGAGGTTAAGAGGGAGGAGGAAGTGATCCGAGGTGTGCAGTGGAGTGAGTAACCAGCACATGATCAGTGGAGCAGTGTCGTGTGTAAATAAGGTCCAGTTGGTTGCCTGATTTGTGAGTAGCCGTAGTTAACACTCTCCTGAGATCAAAAGAAGCAAGCAGAGTGTGGAAGTCTGCAGCCTGAGGTTTATCTAAGTGGATGTTGAAGTCTCCAAGCACAACTAGGGGAGTACCATCCTCAGGAAAGGTTGAGAGCAGCACATTTAATTAATCCAAGAAGTTACCTAGTTGTCCTGGGGGTCGCTAAACAACTACAAAATGGATTTTAAAAGGGTGGGTAATAGTGACTGAATGTGATTCAAGGAGCTGCTAGTATTCTAGTAGAGTAATGTTACTCCCATATGGTACTCATTGTTCATTTATAAATTTGTTTCCTGGTGGAATGACCTGCCCAACTCAATCCAAGCAGCTGAGTCCTTAGCCATCTTCAAGAATCGGCAAAAAACACATCTCTTTCATTTTTATTTGACCCTCTAACTCTAGCACCCAGGGGCGGACTTACCCATTAGGCAAAGGTAGGCGACCGCCTTGGGCACCCAAAAGTCAAGGGCCCCCTAAAATGCTTTTCATATAGGATATGCGCATTAAGCGTGGACACGCAAACCTTTGCTGTTTACAGTGTTTATTTCCACGACAACCATCCGAGTCTGTGGCGCCTGCAGGTGTACGGCACTGTGAGTACCATGAGCGCTCAGACTGATCTGAGATTTGCCCCGCAAACATTTCAGCAGTTATTATAGGCCTGTGTGTCCCGTATTTCTGTCGACTGAACCCATGTCGTTAATTATGAATTTATCAGTCTTTTGCATGCCAAAGTCAATTTCTGCATAGAAAAATTACGCCAAATAGAAGCAGAAAATCGTGCTATACGCACTTTCATGAGATTGGGTTAGCCACCAACAATTAATTTGTTGGCTATTTTACAAATGGGAATACCACGAATTCATGACAATGTTTACATTCAAGCTACCCGTAAAATGTATAGTGAAAAGTACTTTAAAGTGTCTGGAATGCAATAGAGTAATTTTAAAGCTGTTTTTTAAAGCATTTTCTGCATGGATTAAAATATAAATAATTAACATATACAAAATTGCGTTGCAGCAAATCCTTTAAATTTTAAGGTATTCAGAACAGAGCAACATAAAAATCAGAAAAGGCAGCTATACAATTATAGGACAAAGTTTTA